CGGGGTGTATTGGTACATACATATTCATAACATACCTGTTTGAAAAGGTTATTCGCACGATCCACTATGGTTTTTGGGAGATTTATTCGATCAGCCATCGTTGAGATTTCTTTAAAAGCTGAAATCAATGACCTGTCGGAACTGCTCATTGTGCGCCTATTTTGATATTTTGGTGCGCCAAAAGAATCGTAAGAAGCGGACCCGGTCCCAGGTCCAATTATAGTAGATAAATCGCTGCCACCCAGCAATGGATTTTCCGCCCCACCAACGCGACTGGGGTCAACTCCGCTTTTCTCATTACTAAATGTACGCCATTCAGATCCCACATCAATGACGCGGTCACCAACTACAAGCCCACAATCCGAACATATCATGTCTCCAGCCCGATAGTCCTCAATTAGTGGTGCGTCTGGATGCGCGTAACAACACAATTTGTTGTTACCATCGACCCTAACACCATGAAAATACTGCGTTCAATAGATTTCGCTATTTAACTTTGTTTGAATATACGTCCATACCTGCTCAAGCTTGCCATCTTTCCAGCGATGCAAAAAAAAACATCGATGTTTGCTATTCGATGTATCGAATATAACCGATGTTTTCGACTTTCCGATATACATCGATATATCGATGGACTTTTTTCGATGCATCGACTTTTGTGCGTACATAATTAGGCTATCTGCACACTTGTCGTGCGTTATCGTCTACCCCTGAAATTTTGACCCGAGCACGTGCATTTCAAATGAGATCTGCACACTTGTCGTTATCGGCTAGTTATCGGCAAATCGTAGAAGATCTGGAAACGGTTAAGTACGGCGCTGTCGTTTACTAATCGTTGTACACGCATTGTTTGTTTACATTTTATGGGGAAAAATTAGTGGAAAAGTTGATCTTTGCATTAAAATTGCATAAAAATTAGTATTTTTTTGAATAAAATCTGTGGAAATTATTAAAAAGTGGATAATTGTATTAAAACTCCATAAATGTGTGCGTTTTAACTATAAAATGTGACGAAATTGTAAAAACTCTCTGTGTGCATGCACAAAACACATTTCAGGAAAAGAAAAGAAGAGATATTTCTGAAAAATGATACCTAGAATTGTTGCAGCACAGTCTATATTTAAAAAATTGCAGGTTTTTGTAAATATTTCGCGGAAATATCAACAAGAAAAACAGACAATACCTGCTCCAAGTGAATTTTTAGACGCCAAATGAATTGAAATATCACGACCGAGTGTGCGTAAGTGTAGTCGTCATGTAATCGTTGCATCATGATTGTAACGATGAAGCAACCGTGATTGGACGACCAATGTGCAGAAAGCCTTAGCCTGTTCCAATAGCAGTCAGCCCTGCCAGCCAAAAGTGGTGAAAAATCTGGTGAAACCGCGGGTTTCAGTCACTTCAAAACTGGTGACAAAACTGGGACATTTGTATGGGCGGTGTGCAGATTGTCACCACTTTCCCCCTGTACGTGTGATCCTTGCATCACTGTCGCACTCATTCAGATACTTCGTAAGGAAAACATATAGCTGCACTCGTCTAGCATTGCCCACTTCAGCTGGCGCAGGGTTGCATTCTCTT